AAGTCTATAACAAAGTCAAATAGAAAAAGAAAGAGGGTACCCTGACGAACACCACTTTCTGTAGTGAAAAGTGCCGTGATCTCGGACTCGACTTCGGATATTAGTACAAAGGATCGTAATATTGGAACAAGCCCTGGGACGTCACAATGCGCTGGGCTCCGATGGCCTTCCCCCTGCTCTATTTAAAGATGGCGGAATTAGGCTTGTTAGAGGACTACAAGTTCTGTTCTCTTAAGTTAGGAACACTAAGCAGGTCCCCTCCTCGTGGGGCGGGGGGAATCGATTGTCTTCGCATCTTCGAAAAGGGCCTGCGCAGTGATTGCGCCAATCATAAGGCTATAAGCCTAATCCCGATAGCGCCAAAGCTGTTGACGTCCGTCATTCTCTGCCGATTGTACACTATGCGTGAGGAGCAGGCTGGGTTTCGCGCCGGTCGTGCATGCATCGATCAACTCTTCACCCCCCGACAGCTGCTAGAGCACTGTCATGCCCACCAAAGACCAACGATTATTGTATTCTTAAACATCCGCGCGATCTTCAATTCTGTCGTTTGAGGAACGGAGTATCAGAGAAGTGTGCCGAGCCTCAAAAAGTTTTATCGTCATACCTCAGGTAGGATTAGGGCCTATGGTCAGCTTTCACCACCCTTCGCCGTCTCCAGTGGAGTTCGTCCATCAAAATCAAATACATGCACAACCAAAAAATAATTCCATACTGCATCACTCGTCGCGCAGGATAATCAGGACCGCGTTGCCGATTGCATCAAGTGGGGTGGGTAGTGATAAGTGGGCTACTGCTCAGATATTCTAACCTTTATTTAACTCTTTATCTTCCGTTCCCAACCTTCTCCCTTTACCCCTTCTTCCAACTCGTAACATTCCTTCAGACAACTTGTTCGTCACTCGCCAAAGTTCGTTGCCAAGTAGCTCGGTAAGTAGTTTACCACAAAATAGATTGCATATTCTAAAGCCTCGTCAGCCACTGAATCTGGGGCCTTCAACGCGAGGACTCTGATTCAATGGACTCTTTGGGAATGGATGTCTGCTGTGTGTCGGAGACTCAAATTCAGGATCCTAGTACTATATGCCACTTAATTGCACCGGGGTTGTCTTAGAGGTTCTTCCTCCACACGTCAGGTGATGACAAAGCCCGTTCAGTAGGCCAGCGCGGTGTGGGCATTGTACTCAATAATACAGCCGAAGTTACACTACTCCATTAGATCCCCATCAACAGTCGCTTATGTGCGACGCGGCTCGAAGAGTCTATCAGCGTCCGGAAGGGAAGCAACACCAAAAGGTGTTCGTTCATCATTTTAGCGTATGCTCCAACCAACTGCAGTTCTGATGCACAAAAGGACGAGTTTTATGATAAACTCACCGAACTCATTCCATTGAGCCGAAACTCCGATATGGTTGTTCTCGCAGGTGATTTTAACGCGCAAGCTGGAAAACTGAACGCATCGGAAGCTTACTTAGGCGGTCATTGTGCTCTGCTCTGCCAGCGAACAGATAATGGCGATCGACTTCTTTAGTTCTACGCAGATCATCATCTGTTTCTATCCATCACCAAATTCCGATACAGCTCTCAACGGACAGCAACATGGCGCTCAGATCGACCACATAGCAGTAAGCTACCGTTGGCATGACTCAGTACAAAAAATGCAGGTCCCATTGGACCACCCGCGTTGAGTCTGATCATGCGTTAGTTCTGATGCAGTTCACTCTCCAACTCACGGGTCGCAAACATTCCACCAAACTCGATTGGCAGATCATCGCTTATCTGACCCAGCCGTTCGTGCCCGTTCTGAATCAGGACTAGGGCAAGAGCTAAACGCGCTGCGGGGTGGTAGTGTAAATGAACAATGGGATCAGATTAGCCGAGCAATGCATTCCACAGCGAACGTTGCTTGTGAATCTGAAGCAGTAGCCCGCCCGAGGCATTGGATATCTGATGAGTCAGTAGCATTGATGGAGAAAAGGCGGCAAATCCCAACCACCCAGGATCAAGGCAGGGTTAGGTGGCATCTACAGCGTCATCTAATGAGGAGCCTCAAGAAAGACCGTGAGAACTGGTGGGCAACGATAGCTAGTGAAATGGAAGTAGCGGCTGCATCAGGGAATAGTCAGACTGTTCCAACTAATACGCAATACGGGAGGTCGGCGAACCATTTAGTGAAACAATCGGTGACAAAAGTGGACAAGCTATTCACATTAGGGAACAACGGCTTAACCGGTGGGCGGAGTACTTCAACGAACAGTTCAGCTGGCCGGGTGCTAGCCAGACTATCTCATCTGGTGTAGCCGAGGCTCCTTGGGCACTGCCATGTATACATGTTGCTTGGGAATCCGGTTTTTAGTGAACTAACCTAGGTAAACTATCAGTGTTCCACGAACCCGGTTTTAGCCTCGCATTTCGGCTTTTCGTCCTCTGAGTTTCGTGAGCAATCATCATCGCCACGAGAAGGTGTGTAAGGTTTTCTCAGCAGAGGCTTTTTGAGATTCTTGTTGGTATCTCAGCATTCGCGAGTTGAAAAGGAATAGTGACTAGCCGCATACATAGACAACCACCTTCGACCATACTGAGGCCTTCGGAGTACATTGCGAACACTATATGTTGATACCTGAGGGTCAGTCGGCTTTTAGGATATAAGAATGACACGGATTACTTTATTTAACATTGCCAAGTACTAGCGACTCTTTGCCTGCTGATGTTTAACGGACAAACATTGAGCGCATCATCCGTGGAGGCCTTTCAGCCGAGTTCACAGTTTGGGGAGATTTCAATGCCCGTGACAGGGAGAGGTTTTTTCACTCCGTAGATATATCGCTCTTTGAACGTAAAAAAGCCTTCATCTGGCAACTGGTTAACCCCGGACGGTGCTAGAAACGTTGTCCATCCCCCTGATCTTGTCATTTTATCTAATTTCTGTATGTTTTCCATAATTATCACATCTTCACCTGGCCTATCAAACCACTATCTCATTTCCAGCCCAATTTATCCGTTTTACCTTTCTTCGTCTCGGAGTCACCGTTCTGCTACTCATCTCCACTGACCAGTGTAACTTTCTGACTGTTTGCCCATGTAATGATGATCATATTTCCACTGACTTTCCGACCTTCCTTTCACAATTTTTCGATGTGTCTAAGAACTGTGCCAAAAATATTCAGAATTATGTTAAAAGGGTGCAAACGTATTAGACTATTCGTTGATTGGAATGGTATTCTGATCTGTGAGCTATCCTGTATGTACTCGACTGTTGACTAGGCAAAAGGCACAGCAACCTTGAAGATAACTCAAATTGGCAAAGGTCACACTTAACCCCTTTGTACAGAAAGACAATTTTTAGTAAGATTCTGGTACAAGGTAAATGCTTGTTCACATTTATTCTTATCCGCAATCTGCGCTAAAATCATGATATAACAAACTTTCAAGCATAGAAATTAGTTCATGATCTCTTCACGGGCGGAATACTGTCAGGCTGCCCAAACCAAAGCAGCTAAATATTCTTTTGGAATCCACTGCTGGAGTCGTCGACTAGCCAAAGCTTGACCGTCGAGATAGCGGGTGGTGTGTTGGGGTCAGTGTATAGTTAGTTCATCGGATCATTTCTTTTGAGTGGTGACAAACGTCCAAGGTGCTCCATACATATTAATGCTAAATCAGGCCGATGACTATAACTAGGAGTAGGACAGCGTGGGAGAGTTTCATGTCTTTTCTTAGATTGTTAAGAATCAGAAATTCTGGCTTACGTCTTTAGGAGAACTATCAGTAAGTGGTTCACCAGCTCGGTTATAACCCCCGGATGTTTCTTTTCGCCCTGTCATTTTGGTGATTAAGCACCCCTGCAACGAGGAGGCATTGAGCAGAGTAGGGGCTATTTGAGACACTTAATCATACAAAGCCATCTCGTGAGGTGTAGGAAAGGGTCACAACCCAAGAGACCTATCCCTGAGGCTTTTGAAGGTGTATCATTGGTAAAAACACCCAAGAATTCCTACTTCTCACTTCGTCTTTTTTATTTAACAGTGACTTACTTTGTATTGAAACACCTGTCTGTCTTATACACACCGTCATCATTCATCAAAAAAATTTCTATCAGATTTAAATCAGAACTGTGCGTCGATCTTCTCTAATGCAGACAGCTTCCAACCACATGGTATTTTGTCTGCTTACTAAAATGAAAACCAAAGCAATCGACGACAAGGTCCTTCTCAATAATAACACTGATACCCGTGGTGGATATTTCGACTCTGTTTGTTAGATAAAACAAAAACAAGCTCTAATCATTTTGATCTCAAATTACAGAGCGGTAAACAATGGAATCAATAATATGACCCTAAAAGCATTTCGCACCCTTTTAGAATTATTCCCTGAGGTAAGCGTTTAGTACCACATATAACCTAACCACAAAGGATGTGATACTGCACCACATATTTCTGCCTTTCAGAAAAATTGCATAAAGCCAAGGAAACTCGCCGACAACACACTAATCTGGACGCTCGATTGACAAGAGCCACAATTCGTCGTGTGAGAACTGAACTGAATTTTACGTACTACCTATTAACGTTAATTCATTTGTTTTGTCAATTTAATGAGTAATTGTACTGCATAATGAGCGTTCGGAATTTTAACCGAGATGTATGGGAAATACGTGGGAAAATCGAGTGACCCTAAAAGCGTTTCATCCATAATATTTAAACCATGTGCCTCATTTATTAATAAAGAATCGTGGAGACAAGTAATTATCTAGCGATCAAAAGTAAAAAATGAGGATGAATTTATTTTACCGACTAATGCGCAGGACCCGGTTATTTTTGAATCAAACATCTTCAAGTTACAAGATTCTCTACAGGTGTCAGAATGTGGATGTCATAATTTATTTTATCAAATTGTTTTACTCGTGATAGGTAGTTTTATTTGTAATTCATCGACATATTCTCTTTTTCAGCCTTTGTATCAATCGTATCGGAAACCTTGATAAATTCTTTCGACTCGAATCTATGGATCTACCGGATGATGATGTTCCCCTAGGTCTAAACATAAAAGTAATTTTCTGGTTGAATCGTCATTAAAAATTACCTTAGCGAAAGAAAATCAGCGGTGAAGATAAAAAGAAGCCCCCTGGGGAAATTTCAGTTCAGGTATGTATGCATTGTTTTTATGGCTTGCTCTCAGGCTAAAATTTATCGGAAAGAACACAGAGTAAAAGCTTCCTTGATCGGCGAAGTCAAAAAATCATCCGTTCCTGCACCTGTGGATGAATTCTCGAAATTGGCCAAAAAGCCTCACACTTTCGTTCCTGGTCTATTGGATAATCTTCAGAAGTTGGAATACAACGTTCCTACACCGGTTCAAGCCCAAACCATACCAATTATGCTCAAGGTTCGTTACTGAATTTCTTGTATGGGAACTGGTTTTTTTTTCCGTTTTCTGCCCGGGAAACGTCTAACGAAAGTGACGTATCCATCAGTTATCTTCAACTCGTTCCTTCGGTCACAGTTTGGTTCTGTTCAACAATATGCGTCATTCTTTTGCTTCAGCACTACAACTTAATTGCATGTGCACCCACGGGTTCTGGCAAAACGGCAGCCTACTTGTTACCTATCCTGAATGAGTACATACGCATTGTGGACCCACCTCAAGAGTGTCCCAGGGTGACAGCGTCAAAAACAGAAGATTCAAGCATCCAACCACATAAAATCCAACTTTTCGGCTTAATTCTGGCTCCAACTCAAGAGCTGGTGCGCCAAATATGGTCTGAAGCAATGCGGCTTTCCCTCGGATTATCTGAAAAACATTTTTTGGCATGTCTTAAACGAAAACATTACGCTGACCGTGGAAAAAACAAACATTCCAAAGCAAAGTCCCTCGGAGGAATAGAAGGACATCCTGGGGTTGAGTCCAAAAGCTCACCACTCCAAAAACGAGTTCGTGAATTCCGACTACCGCGCAGTACACGTATCCTCGTTGCTACACCGTGTCGTATGGGCACGCTTTTATCCCTGGACGCGTCCCAGTGTCCATTTGATCTTTCTAGGTAAGTTACTTTGTATGAGAATGGTAAAGTTCCGTGTTTCATGATAAATATCAAATTAATGTTGTAACAAACCTTCCGGCAACAATCGATTGAAATTCCCTAATTTTTGTCAATCAACACTTCCCGCGTAGCAGTGGGGTACTTCTTTTTGTTTCCCGGGAGTGGAGATGATTAACTCAACAGCCGGGAAAAAGCCATGCAATATTTCATAAGTGTCTAAGTCCACGGTTTAAGTGGCATATAATTCACGGCAAAAAAATCATGGCAAATAAATGTGTCCGTGATTTTCTCGTGCGTGGAGTACAGCCAGGTTACTCAAGCCAACGCAAGGGAATTTTCTCGACAGATCCACAACGAAGGCTTGCGCTAACCACAGCCTGATCCAGTTGACAGTGGGGCGGTATGTGTGTGAGAACCATTATTCATTGGAGGGTCGGTGTGGGAAAAGGTTAGAGCTGTTGATCCAACCTCTCAGCTCGGATGATAGTGCGTGTGCTCTAGAAAGAGCATGTCGTCCATGCCCCGGCTTCGTTCCCATCAGAAATCCTAATTGATTTCATATTTGGTTACCATAAAAATATTCCAGTTGTGTCGTAATTTTTTGCAAGCCTATGCTGTACCTTGTCTATCAGGCATTAAATAGAGTTTTTTTTATTGAGTCTGACAATACACACTCCGTTTTATAGATTTTATAAGCTTCTATTCCCTCCTCATCATCATGACCGCACGTGTGACCTCCATTATGTCCCAATCCATAATTCGAGACTCATGCTGTCGTTGATCTCCATGCGGTTCTTCTTACTCTGTCACTGGTTCATTTACTGCCTATTTTCCGGACCAATTAAGTTCCCGCGTGTATTGAATTATCTGTATCGTTTCATGGGACTCACTGACTTGGCATATATGATCATGATCTACGGTGATTGAGGAAGCAGAATTACCGGAAACCAGACGGAAACCAAGCTTTATATTTATCTCACACTTACTTGTGAGTAGTGGTGCAGCATAAGCAATTTTGACCTGAACTGAGCAAGAAAATTAGAATTGGCGAGAGCGGACCAAAGATGAGAAAGATTGATAGCAGAGAAATACTTCATAATTCCGCACAAGTGAAGCTTCCTCGATTTTCTCAGATCGCAAATACACACGTCATATATGGTTACACGGAATTCGGAAAACGTGATCCAGTCAAGGGTAAATGTTCGCAAATCCGCGTGTGAGAGGAGTCACCTAACGCCCTGATCAAGGAAAGCAATCTTCATGCTGTCTTTGGTTTTCTAAAACGTAATTCCTTAGACCAAAACTGCTCCGTAGAGCTAGAATCCGGTTATTGTCAATGCCTAAATTGCTTTTGACTTTACTTAGCTACTTGACTGTCAAAATGAATCAGAGCTTGTTGGTAACTGATCTCTATTGTCGAAGATATCCGCTCATCCAACACGTAGGAATTCGCGTAACAGTGCTGATTTCCGCTTGTCTTCTTTATTCTACTATACATGTCGCTCCCAGAAGCCTGATATTCTCAAGTCTACTAACTTTCCTTCCAATCGTATACTAAGCTGTAACTTACTCAATCTTGCCACTCTAAAATCGATTCCTCTTGACATCTTACCGAGATTCCGTCATTGTGAAAACTATTCTCCCTATAGTTATCTAACTGTCTTCTTCCGCATCTTGATTCAGCAAACTACCCGCTAGGTACTGTATGTAGGTCCTGCTAACTATCGCACTTCATTAGACAGCTACCGCCCGCCCAAGCTGGGCAGCCTCCAACCAATGAGGTGCTGTCCCGTCCACGTTTCGCTTGTCTCATTGGGTGCATGAGGCTGAAATCCAATCCCAAACAGCCGACCGATGGTCAACCCACCAGCGAAGAACACACTAAACCGAAACCTAAGGACCTTGCGTGACACGTTTCTAGAAGTTCCGACAAGCGTGCTTCGGCCACGCTCCTGCGTTAGATTTACGCCCCACTGCCTTGTGGGTCAGACTTTAGAATCGAAGGCTCTAGTCAGAGTTCCCAATGAAAACCCTCTTCATCGGTATGGGCTATCGCGAAGTATGTCATGCCATAAAGTATTGGGTAACCAATTGGAAAACCCTCTTTCTTGTCTGTCCAGCTATTCCTCTCTCCCAAAACATAAGAGATGCATCCTGTTTGCACCACCCATGGGATATCACTCAGCGTTCAACTAGTAAGGTCAACTAACTGGAAGTCATAAGAATTTTGAAACCAAGAATTCCTCTGTTCACTTAGCCACATTTAATGTTCGCGCACTCTATGAGGTCGGTCAACAAGCTGTCTTAGCTAGAACCACATGAACTTTCAATTTAGATGTATGCTGTGTCTCCGAATACGCATACAAGACCCTACTTTAATCATCACCGGAGGAAGTAAACAGATTTTTTCATCCGGGCAGCTACATCTCACCTGGTGGACGCGCCACAAATGAAGTTTCGGCACACATACAGAAGACTCCTTTGGCATTTGCCAACTGGAGATATCTGTGGTGCCGTCACGACATCCGGCTGTCTGGGAATGGCCGAATATATGCTACAGCAGTTCGTCTATTGCTGTTCTACCGTGCAGGGACCTGGCCATTACGAGAACAGTATAACAATAGATTATCGGTGTTTGAACCCCGCTGTTCACAGAGCATTGCTCGAGTCGGGTGAGGACCTGGAACTTAGATTGCCGGTTTTCACCACTGAATAGCAGGTATTCCCAACTATCAGGTTTGCCCCATCTGCTATTTATCACGCAATGGTGTGTAATACAAACGATTTTCTCGTGCGTTTCTCGATTTTCGAAATGTGGAAATAAAACATTATCCGAAATCTCAATTTTATTTTCTAAATGTTTTCTATTGTTAGACTTGCTTGGCTTATCATCGACGAGTGTGATAAAATGCTGCAAATCGATTTGACTCGCGCTGGTTCGAATTCGAGCAAGAAACCGCGAAGACCACGTAGCTTTCGCGATCAGATGGCTCCTATTTTTAGCGCCTTTTCAGCAAAATCAGATTCACTGATTGTGAATTCCACCACCCCTCTTGTCGCTCTTTTCTCGGCCACCGTCCCGGATGAAGTGAGACAATGGGCTCGTGAAGAATTGTCACAATTCGTCTCAGGCTCGTCCGACGATGGTATTGCTGGTCGCGGTCGGCTGATTGAGCTGTTTGTTGGAAAGCGGTAAGATTCAATGGAACATCTTGGATCATATCTAGTACATCCACACAATTGTTTTCTTGGTGATATTTGTACTGTGTGCAGTATATTCTTGATCCATCAATCCTAAGGCAGAAATCCAGTAATTAAAAGGTGATACTGAGGTTTTAAAACCTTATCCAAGCGAGCACAATTGCAGAAAATCGACGTACTGTAACGTTCAGTTTAGGAATTTTGCGGTATTTGTTCTTTTATTTTACATTACCGTTTGTGCTTATTAGAGGGAACAAAATCTACATTTTCAAGAACCCATTAGGCAGTTATACAATCCATGAATTGAAGCTTTTCCTAACCGCAAGCCTTACTTAAGTTGAACGGTTTAAAACGGAAACGTTGTATTCACCAGCGACAATGGAAAACAATTGATCTGTAGCTGTTTGCTGACTGTGTATTGATATCAAATTGGTTTGGTAGCTTTCTGCAACTGAATCCATCATCCAAAGATAGCAGTACCAAAATACGTTCTACCGTGGTTTAAAAATTCCTTCACTGCTGCAGTCTTTTTGACCGCATCTAACTTCTCACTGTGTTTCTTTTTTGGATGCAGCGATTCGGCAGTGTCGACTGTAAGTCAAGAATTGCGCTATTGTGCGACGGAAGAAGGCAAACTGTTGGAAATGCGTTGTCTGTTGATTCGCGGATTGACCTATCCCTGTCTGGTGTTCATGGAATCAAGAGAACGAGCCAAAGAACTGGTCAAGGAGATCCTGTTGTCTGACTCTGACGTGCTGGCTAATGTGATTTCGAGTGATAAAACCGAAGCTCAGGTAAGTGGTCATCACGCCACCATTGGTTGTTTCCACCGACATCCTACGGGATGCGGTTCCGGTTTGTTATCATTCAGAATATCTGGCAGATGAAAAGGTGATTGTCATCGTTTAACGGGTACAATCAAAAATACGAGAAAAATCTTTCGTATTTCCTTATATTTTCAATTTTCCGAACTCAATATTCGCTTTCTCGCATCTTGTTGGTCAATATCCCTTGAGATTTTTGCTTTTGGTTGAGTACCGAAGTTCAAACATGTTAGGTACCAAACTTCCGTATTCACGAGTGATCAAACTACGGTGTGTACTTTATGTTTGGGCCATGTACACAACCCCGAATGGAAGAAATGCATCCCGGGAATGCTTGTTTTGAAATCGATTCGCGAGAAAAAAAGATCCAGTCACTGTCTTTGTATTGGAGTTTTTTCATCCACGTATTCGATGTGGTAACAAACAAAGGGAATCTATTCATTTGGAGAAAAGCTCGACTAGCTTTGTGTTTGAGAAACCTGTGTGAGTCCCTCTTTATGGATCCAGATTTTTCGTCCAACCAGTTCTTGTAAAAATAACCGTACCATATTAGCCATTCAACATTCGAGACGAGTGAGGCTATAGTTGGCAGAGTAATCTGAAGTAAGTTCTTTGCGTGCGAACCATCTTCGGTAAATGCTCGATCGCGGCAAGATCACGTCTTCGGTCCGATATCTAAAGTGACTGTTATGAATTCATGCATGTGCACATAAATTTTCATACCTCTGTAGGTTGCGTCTGATTGAGTAAAACCTATAGGAATACTCTCGACAATGAAACTGACCAATCCGAAAATTCTCAGTTTTTCACCAGACCAACCTCATATATGATCAAAGGTTTGATTGAAACCTCTTGCTGAATGAAATCCGCTTATTGAGCTGTTTCGTCAGTGTCAGTACTTTATTGGACTTTGAGGTCACAGATACACACTCACATGTTTATTGATTGTCGTATTATCATTATCGTAGAATTTCTTGATTGTCCTCTCTTCCCCTCCGCCGTTAGCGTGCGGCAGTCATTCGGGCGTTTCGAGAAGGCCAATTGAATGTGTTGGTCTGCACAGACTTACTCGGACGAGGAATTGATTTCAAGGTTAGTGTGGCTCGTGCATATGGGGTCTTGATACGCTTGCATCCGTAATTATATATTTAAAAGGTATCTTGGTCCTTGTTAAAATGTAATCCCTTTTCGTTGTACAGTTATTCACTATTTTTCAGCTTTGGGTTATTTCGACTTTATACGGTTAATTCCACCCACCCACCCACACTCAAATTTTACCCGTCAAGTTTTTCTCATTGGTCTAATTCAAGTTTTTGTCATCCTATACCTCGGTGCAGTGAATAATGGAATGGATAGTATTCTTATTCACGGGGACCTACTTTTCAGTTAGAGGAACCGGCGACCCAAACTCCGGAATTTGGAATAGCGACTCAACAGAAAAAGGTGACCGGCAACAGAGCTGTCTATCAGCAAGATTGGATGAGAGTGTTGGAGTCTGGAGTATAAGGACCCGGAGCGTGCCGGTGATAACGGCTTAAACCGCTTGACTTCAACCATTCTGATATTGTCTGTTTGCTTGAAAGAAATTGGCCATATGCAGCAGTGCATACTAATCGGCGCATACATCGTTAGTGCAAGAACTTATTTTGACCCCACGATCCCCCGGCTTAATCAAAGCTAAGGTTCGGACACAGAGCTTAAGTCAATCCGATTAGGGCGCTGACGCAAACGTTTGGTTCACATGTCACCGGCTAAGTTTCCTCGGCGTGCCATCCTTACCGAGGTCGATAGTGAGTGAAAGAAAGTTGATGGTGGCCAGAATGAGACCCAGCATGAGGGTCGGAAAAATCTGACCGATGTTTTCGGTCACATGATAGGGATGTGGTAGACTCACTCCCTGGTTGGGAACATTGCAATCAATCTGATCAACATTTAGAGACCTGAGATCATTATCATCGTCATCGCACAGTGGAAATACAATAAAAGGAACCTCAATGATCTCTGACAAACTCACAATGCGTGCGAGGCAAGGTAAGTAACTCTAAGACGAGATACCAGATGATATGGTTGAATGTCACTAACCGTAGCATTCTTACATCTACTCACTTTCCACACAGATCTAGTTCACTTGCTGTCT